GATTTCAATAGCTGAACTTCTATGTTCATTATGAGCTCAAGCATTTGGTCATCGCCTTGTTCAATCAGATTTCTGGTTGTCATTGGTAAGGAAACCATATATTCATTCGATACTGAAAAATCCCTGAATTCAATAAGTAAAAAAATAGTGATAGACTTCACCAAGAACTATCGGTAAAATACATCGAAGACATTTATTCTTATGTGACTCGGTTATGTACTCTCTGCGGTAAGGCTCCATCATTTTATTTCCGATCATTCTCACAGGTCAATATCTGTAATAAGTTGTGCTGCACCATCACGTATTTATTTGAATTGGTGAAGTTGGTGCTTGCCTTTTATGCCTTAGTCATTGGTCAAAGCATGACAATTGAGATCATTTTACAGGAGACCATCGCTTGTACTAAGGAGAGCACTCAAAGTGTGTTTGATCTCGGCAATACTAAGTCCTCTGCACTGCACATATTAATAAGATTATACAAAATTTGCGTTTGTCTCCAGGCAGCGAAGTTTCTTCATACATTTTGACGAAAAAGCACTTCATTATTTCAGTTCGAAGCTTGGAAATTAGCCTCAGCATTGAAGAAAGAGAAAACTTTGATCACTTTAGAGCAGTAAGTTTGCGCCCCATAAATCAGATTTCCAGTTTTTTACATTTGATTGTTATCCTGTACCATAAAATACGAACCGTTTGTCATGGAGAAACGCTGATGTGTATATAATCCACTGACTACATCTTTGACCTCTTGCCCCATTAGAAGACGTCCAGCGGTAGCGCATACTTGTTATTTGAAATCAGAATTGACGATATTTAGTCATCCCAACTCTCTCGTGAAATAATGGATTTAGACGATATTTTTTTTTGTTTACAGCGTCGTGGAAAAGGTTTAAGTAGAACACCCTAAGATTCAATATGATGGTAGAATTGGGAATTCCACTCTAAAGCAGTGACAGAAAGGATTGTGATATTAAACGTTTATAACTTTGTTATTTAAAAAGAAGCTTTCAGCTCAACGTCACAAGGTTAGACTTCACTTGCATTAAAAACATATTGCAGACTTCTTGCAATCAAATGCGTATACTTAGCGTCGACTGCGCCTACATTAGCAGTATCAGCTATCTAGTCGAACGATTGATAAGTATTGAGGTGCCCACGAGATTGAACAAACAAGAAAATGTCAGCTCGTCTTTTTCTTCCAAGTGCTCGATAGTATTCACAACAGTCGAGCCTTCGCTCCCTGAAGAATAAGTCATGAATTGATTTGTTATTCCTCATCAGCTGAAATTTTGGATTGGCACCCGACACTATTACATTGACAGTCGCTCCGATCATGTAAACGCCACCACATAGGATCTTGATCTTACCATTACGGCCATTTGAAATATAGTCCAGCGATTGTGCATATAATTGAATTGCCATGTTTCGTTGAGGCCGTAAGCTTGACATACGATGAGCTTTTGTGAGCTCTAAAGTCCTTTTTAAGTTTTTCGATCTCGTCCTACTGGTCACGCAGTTTGGATTCCAACACGTCAATCTGATTTACTGCGACAGGATCAAGGTCAAACGTGTATTTTGTTTTCCACGCTGATCGAAGAACACGAATCGTAACCACCAACTCTAGACGAAGTGCTCCTTCCGCTAAAGCAACCAAACATCGATTCACATCACTATCTTCAGCAAAACTGCTGTCTAATGTGTCACAAAAACACTGCAAAAACATTGTGAGCTGAGTCTATCAAAAACAAGCAAAAAAATAGTGCACCTTGATGTAGTCGGCCAAAGACGCTTTTGGAATTGCGTTTGCAGTCGACACGAAATCCGTTAGAACCATCCCGCCCTTAAACCTACAAGTAGCGAGATATCAATTTGGTCCATACAATACAAACGACATTTGCTACCATTGCTTCTTGGATGCTCGATCTCCCAATCGAATGTTCAGATTAGAACTCTTAAGCTCAATGACATAGCGATATGATGTTGCTGGCGGTGGAGCGAAGACAGTGACGCCCTCCACCTCAATATCTTGCATGGTGAGTGTCGGGTGTAAGATATTATGTTCTAGTGCTGAATACGCGGTTGACGGACGAGATGTTAGAAAATCTTTTCTCTGAATGTTCTTATTGTCGTGAGATTTGTTGCAGATTGATGCTCAATGCTTTCTTACATTGTCATATGTCATCTTTCAAGAACGGACCACGCAATTTCGCTTTCGCGTGTGGAGGCAAAAAATTTAAACGACATAAAACTGTACAGTAAATGTCATGATGATGCTAAGAAAATAGTTGGACAAAGAATAATTTATGGGGATCAAATAATAACACGACAAATATATAAACGAAGCAGCCAATTTTCAGATATGACGAGACCGAAGGCAAGTTGTTTGTATTCAACTCGTAAATGCTGTGAAAGCTTTCAAGTTTATCGTTGGTGAGCCTTAGGACATGCTAATAACGACCGCGCTGGTATTTAAAGGGGCAAACATTTCCTGCGACCTCGAGTTGACGAGTGACAAAAAGGAAGGAAGGCATAGATGTACTGTTTAAGAGGGTGTTTACGTAAACCTTGTATCGTTTCGTGCAGAACTCGTCACTATCTTCTACAGCTTCAGATGGCATGTCATCCTCGGCAGTTCATGCTTATCAATGTAGGGGTGCATTCAAAACACTTAGTGGCAGCGAAGTCGAAAGATTTTTTGTCACGAAGCTAAAGCGCAAACTCATGAAAAAATGACTTGAATTGCATTAAAAATGCGTATTATCGTACACTTTTACGCCACTAAACCCACAAAATTAGCGTTGACACCACCAGAATCAGCTTCCTAGTCGATAAATTGTTAAGTAAGAAGTTTCCACGAGATTAGCCAAGCAAATGATTGTCAGCGCGTCGTTCTCCTCCAATTGCTCGATGGTATTCACAAACGTTGAGCCGCCGAGCCCTGAATAATAACCGGTAGTCACTGCCTGAATAAAACTTTTATTCTTCATCAGCTGTATTCTTAGATTGGCACCCGACACTGCATTGACAATAGCTCTAATTATGTAAACACCTTTTCGTCGGATCTTGATTGCTCCATCAAGGCCGTTTGATTCAAATTCCGTCGAATGCGCATGATTCCAACATAAAATAGAGTTACTCTGCTTGGTTGTGGTTGTGAGCTTTATATACGATGGGTTTTCCCCAATTTTTAGCTTCTCGATCTCGTCCTGCTGATCACGTAGGTTGGATTCCAACAAGTCAATCTGATTTACTGACACAGGATCTATGTCAAACGTGTATTTTGCCTTCCACGTCGAACGGAACACGTGAATTGTGAGATCCAACTCCAGCCGAAAAGATCCTAATGCTAAAGCGACCAGACTTCGTTTCGCATCATTTGTTTCAGCAATATCGCTGTCCAATGCTTCTTGGAAACACTACGTAGAATCAAAAGCTGAATGTCTATCATTAATATCAGACAGAGGGATTAACTGCACCTTAACGTAGTCGGCCACATGTGCTGTTGGTATTGCGTTCGCAGCCGACACATAATCAGTTATTACCATTCCACCCTTGAACCTACAAAAGCCGTGAAATCTAATTTAATACAAGCTTGAATACAAACGATACTTGAGTTCCACCATTGCTTCTTGGTTTTTCGATCTTCAAGGCGAATGCTCAGTTTGGCACTTTTTAGCTCCATGA